ATCATGAATTGTGTCCCATATGCTTCGGATATAGGATCGATTACATGTGCTATATTCATCCATTCTAAAATTTTCCAAATGCCTGGGGCATTAAGAAGGGAAAAGATCTAGAATTGGATATTACTAAAATGATTAAGCAATTGTCGAGGACAATCTAAGGTTTACCAAAGATTGGTTGCTCAAGGACAGTTGGAAGTATAGTGATAATTCTGGAAGGACCATATTGACATAATCTGTAAGGAGGCAACTCTTGTTCAGAAGCGATAGTCAAAATGGAATCTAGAATGTTTCAAATTAGAAATTATTCAATCTGTTTAAGATTAGGAAACTTAATGCAAGAAGGATGTTTCCAAGGAGCTGATCTCCTTTGGAATGCTTAGTAATGGTTGTTGTCATGTCTTTCTGACTTTGTGCATACTCATTATAAGAGGATCAATGCATATAAGTTTAGAATCTAACAGATTTCAGTAAATGGCATGAATTTGGAATTCTTGCATTTGCAGTAAGGATTTGGGACTGTGAAAAGAGGATCATTGGAGTTATGTTCAATTGATCTATTTTCCAAAGTAAAGATCATAGACAAACATCGTATGCATACATGGTGTATGGCATGACTAGTGTTTAGAAAACATAGCGTACATGCTTGGACCTAGAGAAAATTATTGTTTTAAATTCAAGAATAAAGTTGATAGCTGATACAATATACAATGAATAATGTGTAATCATATGGTGATAAATAAAAGATATTTTATTTATGTTCATAGGTTTTGATACCATATTGGATTCAATTATTATTGTGTTTCACTTTGCATGTTTTAACTTCCAGAATAACTAGGTCATTGTTCTGGATGACTAAGTTATTCAAACCATCCACAGTTGGTCATATGTTGGAAGTAGATATGAATTAAGACTGTCATGGGTTGGCTTGTAGAGGTCTAAGATGTTGGACAAAGGGCTACAACACTCATGAGTGCTCATAAGTTCTGAGTAGTGGATTCAACCTGCGGTCATAAAATCACTTCATGGATTTTATCACGAGTGATCATGAGACAATAATATCTTATATTCTTCAAACCTAGAGATATGATTTGTTACTATGAGTTGGTTGTACATTGATTCCACAAAAACGCATTCGGTAACTTAGTGTTATAAAACGTGCCTTTGTGTATGATTCAACAAGTAGTAGAACAAGCCATATGAGTCGAAGTTTATCCATTCCTTTTACCTTTGGGATAAAATCGATATCTATGGGCCCCTCGATGTTTTGATAATGAAAAATAGAAGTGCTTAGTCGGGCCAGGACTGATCTGATTTGTTCAATCAGTCAGTCGTCATAAATTGGAAATCGGGAAACAACAAATGGACAGAGAATGATTATAATCCATGTCTCAGTCCATAAAATATCTAGAATGGAGGAATATATGATCCCTTATCTAATGGACAAGTCATTGACAAAGGTCAGAGTTCATCTACAAGGTCAGAGTTCGACAGAAGCTTTTGAGAGCTACGATTGCCAATCGGTTCTTGAAGTCATACGCAATAATAGTTTTAGACTTATCCAAGTGGGAGACTATTGTATTAATGTCTATGTCCATAACTATAATTGGTGAGACTTGACCCGATCCGGCATGGTCTATTTGGGTTGCATGGCATCATGCATTTGGATAGACTATAATGAGAGAAATAACACTTAAGGTTGGTTAATATATTATAAGTTCTAATATATTAATCAGATTATTTAATTAGTATTGATAAAGAATTAATCCAGGATTAATTAAGTGATCAAAATAATACTAATTAAATATATGGGTTGATTGTGTAAATCATCCATACTTATATAGTTTGCTAATGCTCTATGGATTATCTAGTTGAGCTAAAACCCATATGATGTTTCATGGATGCTCCATGGTGTTTTTGAACCCATGGATCATGGAAATGAAAGGCCATGTCAATTAGGGTTTAGATGGTGTAACCCTTACTATATATGCATCTTATTCTTGACAAAAATCGGCACTAGTATCACCCTAGAGAAGGGCTAGCCGATTTCATGGAGTGTTCAAGTTTCTCTCAAGTTATTGCAAGTGTATTTGGTGTTGTGTGAAACATTTGAGGTATCACACTTGGGGCACTAGGCACTCAAGCTTCATGAAGACTTTCTACATCAAAGAGGTATGTATTCTATCTTCTTATATTCTTTGTTTTGTATGCTAGATTAGGATAATACCTTGGAAAGTTCATATTTGCATGTATAATAGAGAAAACATAGATCCATGGTATTTAGGGTTGCATGTACACTTAGGAGTGTTAGAATGCTCAAAACCAATCAGAAACTCACTTTAATATCGTGATTTGACAATATCTAACTGAAAACGGTCAACGGTCCGCGTTCGTTAGGCTCGGGATGCGATATGGCTTTAGCAAATGAGAGAAAGGGAAGAAGTTCAGGTGTATGAAAAAGATGAGGTCAAATTTCCTATTTATAGGAAGTTTTTTTGTACTC